CAGCTGTAAGGATAACTCTTAAAATTTAAAATTTGATTTTTCAGGAACTATTCGACCGATATTGCCCTAATTTTGTATTTTGTTATATGAAGTAAACTGGTGTAAAGAATTGTTTATCTTACAATTCAAAATTTTTTGACCATTCTTAAATAAAAGTAAACATTTACTAAAGTTATTTTTTGCATGGAATTATCTTTGGATAAATGAATTTTATAATGTAATGTGTAAGAAATTTACAATTGACTTAAAAAGTTCTCGATACTTAGCGAAATATGCAAAAAAGTAAAATTAACATTGAAGGGTCCAAACTTTAGACCACTCTTCTGATAAAACTATTGGGAAGCTTTCTCCCAGATTGCGAATTCCTTCTGTATTTTAAGAGTAAGAAACAAAATCAGTCAGGAAAAAAAGGTATATAAGTATATTCTGAAAAAGTAAGTTTTCATATCTGGTTTCGTGACTTAAAATATCGTCAGCACAAATTAATTAGCTCATTTTAGGTAAATCCCTCAAACTTTTAAGATTATGAGAATTACGTGAAAATCCGATAATTAGATCAAAAATTATTCAGGGTGTTTGGTATCTTTATCTGTGCACTGTATATAAAGAAATAAATACAGGATCAGTTAAAACGGGTAACCGTGTTCTTTTTGTTGCTTTTGTTTTCCAGATTTTTTTCTTTCTTTTTTTTTTTCATTTCATTTTTCTACGATAATACCAGTTTTAATACAATGCTGGATTTTACAAGTTTTCTTTTTATAAACTTAATTTTTTTTTATAAGTTTAACTTTGCTTAGAACGATTTCCATTGAACAATTTACAACAGTTAATGTTGTTACCAGTTAATAAAATCCTGAAAAAAATGGAAAACTAAAGAATCGGTTGATTAAGTGACGGATAAAATCCACAGGTCACGCTACTTTGTTTTTAAATCTTCCTCTTCATTATATTCAGGAAAATCTTCCTCGAGTTTAAGATCCTGTGAGTCATCAATGATGGCCTTACTATCCAATTCTTCGTAAACTGGTACTAAAGAATTAAATCTTCTAACAAAATTGAAGAGTTTTACCCTTAGTTTAATCTTTGAAGAATCTTGTTAATATTGCTCTTAGAAAAAATATGTTGCTCACAAAACTTAGATTTCTTTTAAAAAATCCGCCTTTTTTGAATTCAATAAATATTTAATAAAAATACTCAAAATTTAAACCCCTTCCAAAAAAATGGTTTTAAAAAATTCTCCCCTCCAAGAAAAATTAAAGTTCCACAAATGCACTGTTTATAAATGGGCTCCTCTTGTTATATAAATTTTGAGCTGAAGATATAATGAATATGGATGGAAAGAATAATCTCCACTTAAAACGAAAATAGAAGAAGAAAGAAGATTTTAAAATCTAACCCTTTTTCAAAGTCAATAATAAGTTGTAAATGTGCTTCTCTTATGAGTTATTTTTGGTAATTGTTAAGTAGAACATTGATGGTATAAAATTTTCTAAAAACGTTCTAAAAACCTTCCTTCTAAAAACGACTTAATAATTAACCCCTCCCCCCAAAAAAAGTCATAAAAAATAAAATCATATAAATATATCCCCCAAAAAAATCATACAAATATACAAAAATATTCCTTAAACATCTGATTTACAGTTTTAAAATTACAAAATTTCTATGGACTTGCCCCCTTGTGGACATCCCTGGTGATGAGCCCTATATTTTTTATTTTAAATCATCCAAAAAGTAATAGATATTTTTGTCTACTTGAAAAACTTAGTTTCGTGGTTTTTGCGTTCATGTATTAGTTTTGTGTCAGATGTTGTCGTCGGAAAGTAGTTAAAATTTTGATTATCAAAAAAAGAATTTATGCGTTTTTCTATTTTTGTTCTTTTGAACAACTTAGAAAACAGTTGAAACTTAAAATTGTCATCGGGCGCTGAGCTCAAGTGGAAATTTGACCATAAAAAAAAATGTCAGAATTTGAATTGGCGATCATTTCGGTGATAATATTGTGGTGATAAATTTTACTTATAGCCGACAGGAAACGATTAAAACTTTCATTGCCATAAAGAGCTCCAACTGAGAATTATATATTCTTGTCCGAAAAGGCAGAAAGTGATTAAAAGTTTGACTACCAGATTCCATCACAGATTAGAAAGATATTTAATAAAAACATTGTAAAAAAAAGGAGTTAAATGTATGTTAAATATTCCGAAAATTAACAAGACAAGTTTTTATTTATTTTGTAATGATAAAGCAATCCTGGAGCTTTTTGCATCCTTTCTGGAGGCAATATTTAGAAAATATCTGTTCACATTTTGAAGTAAGCATTTTAAATGTTAAGTTTTCCCCTAAGATATTAACCATTTAGTAGTAAGCAGAGATGGGGTGAAGGGGGCAACGGCCCCAGGGATTTTGTGAAAGGGAGTATCCAAGTAGTGCATTAAAACTTTAAACCTTGTTATCATTTTCATTAGAATATTAATTTTTTTAGGTATTATATTTGACTGAAGAGAAATAAATTAAGATTTTCAAGCAAATTTTATAATGAAGTTTTTGTTTATAACACTTAAAATATTTTTTTTTTTTTAATAAATCTTGTTTCGTTAGAATATTGGGAATAGAGTAATTTCCAGATAGAATTACATGAAAATTAATTGATTTCAGAAAGGGGTTTAATATTTTATTACTAATTCCAATGTTTTTTTACTTTTAATTTAATTGGATTTTTCGTCCCCTTCAACCCCCCGAACTAGACATTACGTTTAACTCCTCTTCTCTGGGGCATCTAAAGAGGAATTTGCAACGGGCATCCCCCACTCCTGCAAGCCACTGCGCATGTAACACATCTAAAAATATAACAGTCATGCAAAAGATGAAACAAAAATGCTTTTATATGTTATCAAAATGAGCTGGTAGTTCTATTAATAACTAACTTAATGTTGCAGCTGGTCTGAAAGGTAATAACAAACTCAAGGTGAACTAGGCATTCGGCAATCACGTGGTGTTCGTCTGCTAACCGCCTCACTAATAAATTTTTTAAAAAAAGAATTAATCGCAAGTAAGAATTAATCTTACATTCGTAGCATTGAAAATAAAAACAGTAGAAAGTTTGTTCTTGATTTTTTTTATTCTCATCATTTAAAAATTTGTATCTCTGCGTAAGTGGCCGGAGCATTTTTTGTAAAATATGTCTTCGTAACTTTAAAAAAGCGTTTTTCTCACTGTATTTTTGTACATTGGTGAAAACTCTATTATTTCAAACTTAGAAACATGCATACTTATTTGAGTTTTAAACTTTATATAATTAATTTAAAAAATCTAGTATTTTAGGCTTTTTTTCGTTTAAGAAGTCACTATTAGTATAAAATCTATTTCAAAAATATTCTTCCTTCAGCATATCGTTTTTTCTTTTGTGCTAAGTAATATTTTTTGTTTTTTTTGTTTTTGCAAATTTCAAAATTTTTAATACCGACCTGAATGTAAAATGTATAGCAAATATTCAATATTTTTATTTAAACAAATACCATTTATGAAATTTTTAAAATTTTTAAAGAATTCTACGCAACATAGCCAGAAAACTGAATATTACCCCTACTTCAAAAAAATATGCCGACCAGCCTGTGTAGGTGGCAAGAGACTGTTTTTTCCTTCTCTGTACTATCTGTCTCCCCTGGGATGTTTCCCAGACAGTCGCCAATAGCCCATTGTGCAACTCTAGTGCGACGTAAATGAACAAAACAACTGTACTATCTGTCCTCGCAGTGTGGGAGCGATGTTGGTCCACCTAATATGGTGCCCCTGAAAGAGAGGTCAACAAAATCGCCCTGTAAATGCCTCAATTGACGGATGTTCACACAGGCGGGCATTAGGAAAATATATATATATATATATTCTCACTTCGGTGGTATTCGGTATCATCTGTCAGCGAGCAGTATCGTAGGGGACATCTAAATCATTATATCTAATTCTACTTTTTTATAACGAAATTAAATTTTTTAACACATAATTTTAAATATAAAGTTTTAGGTCTTTAAGATTAAAATATTTCATAAAAATATAAGAATATTTCGTTGCCTTTCCCTTCTTTTTCTTAATCTTTTAACGTCAAATGTATCATGTATGATACAATAACTTCAAAGGAATTTTTTCTAGTTTGTTTATTCGTAATTTCATATTTCTAAGTGAATACTTTTCTTTATTGCTGTTAAAAATATATATATATATAAAAAAAATAAAAAAGGATACTTAAGCGATGCATATCACGAAACCAGTAAATATAAAAATGAAATCTTTATTTCTTTTTGGTCATTTCATCAAAAAATTATTTTTAAAAAAATCTTACAACTTAATTTTTCTTCTCAATGCAAATTTAATACATGCTTGTATTTTAAAAAGTTGAAGAATCATATAACAAATGTAATTATGTAGTTTTATTCTATTGGTGAGATTTATAATAAATGAATTATATTGATAATTGCAAAATTTTATCATCATGCATGATGCAGCTGCTATTCGTGGCATTTTTATTATATATTTACGTTATATTTCCTTCAAAGAAATGTTTTTTTTTTTCCTAAATTACCAAAAAAAAGTTAAAACCATGAAAAATAAATTATGTGCTTTCTTAATTAATAACTAATTAAAATTTAGATAAGTAAGTTAGTTAATAGTTTAAAATGAATCGTCTTAAAATAGTAATCCAAGGACTTTTGCATGAAAGCTGCAATAAATTACAACAATGATTTTTCATCTTTTAAAGAGCTTGAAATAATGTTTAATAAATTTTTGCCAATGATTTTAACCAACTGAAATTATTTTTCTCACAATTTGCCAGATTTTGTTTCAAAACAAGAAATGTCCCTGGCGTATTTCTTATTTTTTTTCTTTAACAAATAAATGAAAAGCCAATTCAAACATGAAACACAAATTCGAATATTGAACCAAAAATATGTTAAAAATATTGTCACAGCTGTTCCTCTAAAACGGCCACACCAATCGAAAACCTGATAATCGCGCATGCGCAACTTTTTCCCTCTCATCTAGAAACGTAAACAAAAACATTTAAACTGTAGTAACTCGATTTCTCTTAATGGTGATCGTTATTGTTTAAATTATTTCCCGTTTTCAATATGTTAAGAAATATTTATTCTCGCCTTTCACCAATTCGATGTCTTACGTCGAACAATTTGCCTGCAAGTTGCAATTATTCTAAAAGTTCTAAAGATTCAGTCGGAAGCGAATCTCAAGGTTCTTATTATACTGCTAAAGACATCGAATTTTGTCCAAATAGAGCTAAAGAAGTTCTTCAGAACTGTGTCTTAGAGGCCAAACAAGATCTGTGCGAAGATGATCCTTTTATCGAAGCAGATAAAGTCAATCCAGCTAAACCTCAAAGTGAAGAAGAACATGCACAAATGTATCAGTCTTTCAGTTCAGTGAGCTTGTATTCAGTCATGCAAAGTAATGTACCTGATCCATTTTCCACGAGCTCCAAAGCTCCTACGCATTTAAATATGCCAGGTAGCTCTTCAAGTCAAGGATATAAGTATCTTTCTGGAAAACTACAAAATACACATCACTCTAAGCAGTAATGTGAGTTTATTCATGAATCAGGCTCTGAATTATTTTTGAATATCATCCATACATGTTTAATTATATATATTTTTTTAAAAAAATCTTTGCACTCTAAATATTATGTAAAATAAAATGTTATGTACAGTTACTTAATGTGGAAAAAAAATTATACCAACTATTAGTTCTCTATTGGCAGGGCTGCTTGTGTAGCAAAAAAGATATAAAACTGGTAGTAAAACAATTCCATATCTAGCATGTTTTCTGGAGAAATAAAGAATCTTGACTACAAAGATATATTAAACATTATGATGTGCAGTGCATTATGATGTGCAATAGCAGATAGAGCAGGGTTCGTTTTCTATTGCTCTTGATATTGCTAATAACTCTTGATCTAATGATCTGCGACTAAATCTTAAAATTTCAAAGAGGTGACCTCAAATCTGATAGTTAATTAATGCTGACAATATTTTAAGTTACGAAATCAGACACAAAAGATACTTTCTCTGAATACACATACCTTTTTCTGGTCAGGTCAGATTTCTGGCTACTAAAATATAAGGAGTAGCTGCAAACTGGGAAATATGGCCCCAATAGTTTGATCAGGAGAGTGGTCCAAAGTTTGGAAACCTTAATGTTAATTTTACTTTTTACGTATTTCGCCATAACTGGAGAACTTTTTAATCCATATGAAAAAATTTCACTCACAATTGTAAAATTTGTTTATCCACGGATGCAAAATATAACTCTTAATAAAAATTTATTATTTTATTTAATAATATACGCAAAAACTTTTGACTTGTAAAATTTCTTACATCATTTCAAAGAAGACAATGGCGAAATATAAATTTTGACCCTAATCGGCCAAATAGTTCTTGAGAAATCGAATTTGAAATAGTTGGATTTTAAAAATTTGACTGATCCTTGGAGAATAACAGAATTGTCAATAAGTCTTGGTAATCATGGACATATGTTCTTTGCAAAAACAAGCTAGAAAGAAATTGATTTTACTATCAGTCTTATAGCTTTCCTGGCAACAAACAGTCTTGCTTTTAATTACAAATATTCTCTTTTCTTTTACATTTCACATTCTATAATATTATGCTTCTTGATAAACACATTAAATTCACAGTAACAAGGGTAGAAATTTGCAATATTTAGTCACTGCTCTGAAGGGTCAATAATTAAAAAGTATGTCTTGTCTGTACACATTTTAACTGGTTTGTTTACATGTTTCTATTAGATATTTCGTCTTATTTAATCAAAATTCATTTTAAATGAAAAACTACAATATAAAAAAGGTGTTATATTCACAATTATAATGAAATATGCTCTTTTGTGATGGTAAAACAGAACAAAACACGAAACTGAAGAATGAAAAACAAAAGCATACCAACCAAATCATATACTATACATCAATTGATGGTCTGAAGGACCATTGATTACGATTTTATGGTGGCCCATGCCTAATTTTAGTTCTTCCAGACCAATATAAATTTTGAGCTAAGAACAGTATAAATTTAGCCATAGTTATGATTAATGAATTTATGAATGAATTTTGAATTTATGAATTTGATTATGAATTTGAATTTATGAATTTGAATTTTGATTAATGAATTTTGAATAATATTTTACTCTACAATTTGATTTTACTATTAATTTAATCTCAGTTTTCTTTAGTTTCAGATTATTTTTTTACCTCCAAGTGTTCTTTTTGAGTTGATTAATTTGAAATTATGAACAAATTAGCATGAGTTAAAAAATAAAAATTGAACTTTAAAAAATCATCATTTTTATATGATATTGTTTTTAAATCTATCTAGGTAAGGTTAAAAAACTAATTTACTGTGCCATTATTTCAATTAAGTCATCTATCATAAAATAATAATCCTAAGAATAATTTCCAAGAACTTGTCACTCAAGTTTGATTTTAAAATCAATTAGTCTACCTTTTAGGTGGGTGTGTGATCTAAATATAATTGCATTTTCTGCAATTAATATTTAGTGGCTATGTGCGTATATTCTGTCCAGCGCAGTTGCAACAAAACAATCTTAACTATTTACACAATTTGTGTGAAATATATGTGCATGAGCATGTTAGAGGCTACAAGAAAATCTAAATCTCTCTATTATCATTTTTAGTCGAAAATTAAAAGCAGTTTTTATTGAATTATAATTGTCTTTACATTTTTGAAATACCTTGTACTTGAAAGAATCATTTAATAATGATAAAAAATAAGATTTTTATAGAAAGACTTCGGGTATACTAAAATTAAATTGAGAGATTTAGTAATGTCATGTAACATCCTGCATTTTCATACGTGTATGTTCTGCCCTATGCTGTTAGCACAAAACAGTTTTGATTCTTTAAAGAGTTTGTATACTAGCATACTGGATGTTACATGAAGACAGGGTTGCAAAAAACCCACCTGCCCAATAAAACCCGCCCGGGTTTAACTGGGTAAAAGCCACTCTGAAAAACCCGGTAAAACCCACCCTAAAGTGGGTTTTTCTAAGATTGATTTCTTTTTTCATCCTCTGTTATTTTAAAGAGCCAAAAAAAAATTAGTCTAGCCAAAAAAAAATTAACCTACAGTGAAGAAACTAATTGTGTTGGAAGATGGAGAGTCACCTTGCTGGCTAGATTTGACTGTATGGCCATTGATTATTCAGTGCCATTGATTCGCTTTCTATGAAAAATAAAAAAATTTCCTCAAACATTTTTTAAGATTAAAATATAAATAAAAAGTAAACCTGTGTTAAAATAAGTTTCAAATGTGTGATGTATGCGAGTACATAAAACATTTTGTATTGTGATATCAGAAGAAACTTTTTTCAGACTTTCACATCAATTTATTTGTATTAATTATCTATATGAAGTCAATTTATAAAATTAAACTTAATTATTAATATTAAAATAAGCTTTTTTAAAATAAGGTACAGTACAGAACCTGTTATCGGGAAGTCAGAAAACCGGAATGAAATTCTATAAATTTCCCCGCTATGTTTTTTTAAGAAAAAAATTTTTTCCTCGTAAGATTTTAGGATTTTTCTTTCTTTTTTGAAAGATGTTTACCTTACCATCACTTTGGAAATAATCATTAGTGTATTACTTCATTGTTTTTTCTTCTTTTTAAGATTATCTCCAAATCCCCACTCATAAANAATCATTAGTGTATTACTCCATCGTTTTTTCTTCTTTTTAAGATTATTTCCAAAAAAAATTTTTTTTAGTTGGGTTTAACAATAAAAAAAACGGCTTTTTGTAGCGATTCAGAAAACCGGAAAAATCAGTTATCCGGAATAGCGATGGTCCCGATCGTTCCGGATAATAGTTTCCTACTGTACTTATCCCTGCCCTCTCTTTTGAAAACCGCCCATAAAAACATGAAAAGCCCAATAAAACCCACCCGGGTAATTTGCAGCCCTGCACGAAGATGTTAAATCTCTCTATTATCATTTATTTGTGAAGAAAGCTGAAAGTAGTTAAATTATTATTATTGAATTTTAATTTAATTAAAAGAGAAACGTGCTATTAAGATATTTGATTTAGGTATGTAAGGAAATTAAAAAGCCATAAGAATAAAAAATTATTAACCAACTGATTGTTTTCAAGACCTCAAGATATCCTTTCATCTGTGGATCTTTTATTTAAAGAACCAATTTCATCTCATTTTATTCAATGACAAAAGGGTGTATCAGAAAAAAAAATTCTGTATGTTGCCAGAATGAAACTTGGCAAATATCTCACCCTCTCCATGGCTCTGCCTTTATCCAGGAACCAGTTTTTCGAGTGTTATTCAATGGGAAAGTAGTAAATAACAAGATAATTTCAGTAAAAGTTTGCTCAGGAGCTTAATATTTTTAAAGGAAAGATTTCTGTATCTGTACCTGTGCAAAAAAAATATCAGCGACTTCCTGGCAATGTCCCGTTAGAAAATAAGAAACATCACAGAAGAAAATAACTCATAATCTTTCTCGGACAATCTTTACCTATTTTTTGTAAAAATTTTCTCAAGATTAGAATTCCTTTAGCACCTTGGCAGTTGTAGTTTGTACAAAATACAAAAACATCCTCCTTTAAGGGTTAAAGTTATACATAAGGATTTACCTTTATATTATAATTTTTTCTCTAAATCTCATCATATCTCATGATGCATTTAAATATAAAATTTTTGTAGCTTTAAAAATATATATTTTACTTTTATAATGTTTGATAATTATTTTTTCACTAATATTTTTCTTTTATCTTTTAGAATATGGAGAGCAAGAAAGATAGATCCTTTGTAAATAGAGTAGATCTTTCAGCCTGGTTGCTATAAAACCTGTTTGTAACTGTGTTTATTTTGGAGATAATATGCAACATTTTGTTCAGTGTAAATAGTTTTGTCATTCTTAAGATTTTGCATATTGTTATTTGTGAAATCACATTTATTCTCATTTTATTATTTGAGAATTAATGATATTTTTATTACTGTGCTTAATTTTTGCTATTTTATCCTTTGAAAATAAATTTGGGTAGTTTTATATTAGTTTAAAATTTGAATTAGCATTAAAAGATATATCATTGGTATTACGCATTGTATTCCTCTTGTGTGTGTAATCACATTTATGCACATTCTTGTTAATCTATTTGAGAAATACTTATTGTATCTTATTACTGTATTTTGATAATTATTGATGTGAAAATGTTATATTTTTATAATTGTATTTTATAAAACAATTTTGGGTGTAGAGTATTCAGACAACATTAAATATATCATTAATATTTAAAATTGTATTTGTTTGTTTTTTTTGTCCTCGTATATAAAATTCATGAGTAATACGCAATTTTTGTGCTATCAATGCAGTCTTTAAATACTTTTCAAATATTTAAAAATTAAAGCCCAACTTATTTTATTTTTACAAAACAGATCTTTCTTTATATTAACATTTTACACATAATATCCATAGAAGGTTCAGGCTAAAGATGACCAAAACCTAACCTAACAGTCATGAATAACTGTTACAAAATCTCAACAGCTGTAAAAAAATATACATATAGTTTGACAAATAGTTATTTCATGTGACAAAGGAGCTTCTAAACTTCTTCCTTGAGATAAAAACTTCATGTAACTTAAAGTAAAATTTTTTTTCTGAAATATGTTACAATTTTAAATATCCTTTAAATTAGGGGTGCTCAAGCATTTATGGAGGAGGAACACAAAAATCATTTACCCTTTAAGGACCTCAATAAATTCAGTTTCCTAATTATCAGATAATAACAAGTTTTGAACTTTTCCCTGTACAAAAGTAATTTCATTACATTTTAATGTTTTTTCTGTTTTAATATCTAAAATTTTCACTTATAAGTAATTTCTGAACAATATATGATTTTAGTATATTATTGATGAGTTTTTACATCTGGACATCACTTGAAATGTATGTTAACATAACAAAAATGGATAAAGCTCAAAATTCCTGTTAATGTAAATGAGCAAAACTGAAAATGTGTTTTTATGAAAATAGACACACCTCAAAATGGCGACAGCTAAAAATACATATTTACGAAAATGGGTACAGCAAAAAATATCTTTTTGCAGTTTTCAACTCAAAATTTTACAACTAAATAGAAAATTGCATGTTTCTTCTTTATTACTTATTTAAACACTAAGCATGATCATTATGGCAAAGTTCGGGGCTTCAGGATCAGAGTAACTAGGTATATCATTATAATTCTCCTGGCGATGTCTTTGTTGTGATAAAGTTAGTATTAAAACTCGACATTCCTACTGTGTAAATTTACAACTATTATTATAAATTTTTAGCAACCTTATGGAAAATAATTATTAACTTTTAGAGTCTTTAAAAAAAGAAACTAGTTTAATGTACTTATTTTTGACGTTTACTCTTTATATTGGATTAACATAGTAATAAATTGTTTACTTGGAATATAAATAGACCAGTAAAAGGCTTAAAATGAGTTTGAAAAACTACTGAATACAATTACGTTTCAAATGAAATGTATTTTTTCTAAATAAAAATTTTAATTTATTTAGAATTACTGCAGTGCAAATCAATTTTAAATAAATTATTAAGAATTATTAATTTTTAAACCTTTTTTTTTTTAAATATTTTTTGCACAAAATATTTTATATTTAAATAAATTTCTCTAATTCCCACGTTGAGAACAATTTTCTATGTAGAAGATATGACTATTAAGTTCCATGACTGATGTACTAACTCCTAAAAATATTTGAATTACATACTCATTTCTTATAATATGTTTCAAAGTAACCTAGACCTGATGTAATGGTCTTCTATACTCAACTGTAAAAGTTTCAGATACAATTTTTTAATTTTATGAATATTTTCTTCTAGCATTCTTATCCTCTTTGACGTCCTTCTTCCTTTTTGCATTCAAATTTGAAAGCAAAAATCTGTAAGAAGTTTTTGTTAAGAGTATGGTTAATATCTGAAACCAAAAAATAAATAAATAAAATATTTCTAAAGACCAAGGTTTAAGAATTTAGTTATAAGAAAAACGCCCAAAATAGAATTTTGGAGTATCCCAAACAAGGACTTTAAAAGTGTTTCTCAACCTTTTACAGACAAGTACAAAAGTGTATTTAATCAGGCAGAGGTAACTTTGAAACATATCAATAAGGATATGTAATTTTGATTATATTTTTCATATTATATTTTCATCAGTTATTAGATTGATCTAGGAATCAATAAGCATACTTTGTATATTTGAAATCTCAGAAAAATTTATTTGTCTTCATTACTTTCACAAAATATACTATACTAATAAGTGGTTCATAAAAATTTATGAAATATGTGGTTGGTTATCATAATTAAATTATAAAACTTTCATTATTTACTCTTAATTTATTCATTGAATGTTTGTTTTCCAATCTTCATCAATGACGTGCCACCCCAAGGTTTGCCATGGCCTTCTTCTAAGTTCCAAGCTGCTCTTGTCTTGGATAGACTTTTCCAGTTTATAACTTTGAGAACTCTTAAATCTTTTTCTTGGCAGTTGATCCACCAGATCCGTGGTCCTCCCCTCTTTCAGTCTCCAGATGGTTTTGCTTCGAAGTTCTTTTTGGTAGCCTATTTATAAAGTTTTCATTAATTTTTTATTATTTAATCTTATTTTCTTCATTAAAATTTAAGATATTAATTTCCTGAAAGAAGTCATGTGTCTAATAAATTGTTGTAAATATATAAACATTTATTTAATTAGGTTTAAATTAATTTAATTTAAGTAACTAAATATTATTTACACATCAAAATTTCAGTAATAAAATTGAATATAAATCTTGATAATATTTTAATCATTCCTGGAAATTAATAATTGCAATTTGTATATTTAAAATCTCTTGAAAATTTAATTGTCTTCATTACTTTTACATAAGACACTATACTTGTAAGTAGTTCATAAAAATGTATTAATTCTTTGAAGGGCTGTGGTTTCCAAAGTAAACAAACTAATGCAAAAACTCATTTAAATAAATTGTTCTATTAGGCAGAAATGATTGTGCTCCGGAAAAAGCCCGGATTTTTCGCTATCCGCGATCCGGAAGTTTCCGAAAATCCAAGGTCCAGAAGTTTCAAAGAAATCGCCGATTACATTTATGTATAAAAATTCTTGTATATTTTATTTAAAAATATGAGAACTAGAATTTATACTTGGCATCTCTTTCATTTGTAAATATTTTTTCTGTGAGAATATATGTGATTAGAGATAAAAGTAAACTTATACAAAATTATTAATTTAAATTATGCTGCACATAATTTTAGAATTACATGTTGTGAAAATATCAATGATTTAAATTTATAAAGCCATTAATTTTTTTAAATGCATCATTAATGATTTTACTCAGGAAATTTTCAGGATTTTTGAGCCGGAAGACTTAAATATATGGTTGGTTATATTTTATAATTTCATATTGAAACTTTCATCATTTCTTTTTTTATTATTAATTTACTCTTGGTTTATTCATTGAAACTTATATTAATTTTCTAAAAGAAGTCATTACAAATGTGTATATATAATGGATGGTTATAAATATATGCATTTATTGGGATATTTATAACCATATATTTGAATTTCATGAAATTAAATTACTAAATATAATTTCCACATCAAAAGTTCAGTAATAAAATTATGATTTTGGCTGAACTTAAAAATAAGGTAAGAGAACAGATATTTTTTATGCATACTAGAATGTTCCTACCCCTGCTCACTCCACTATCCTACCTCCCATAGTGGCTTCTCATTCTTCTGTTTTGTTTTTTTTCTTACAAATGTCGATACTTTCAAAATATGTATTTATTATAATTATTTGTTCAAACATTTTTTAATACTTTAACCATATCAAAGTTGTAGTTGCATTTTAGTAGAGGGCAATAAAAGTTTTTTTTTCATACTACAAAATTCTCAAACTAAAAATCGAATCTTAAATGTTCTTATTTCATCAAACTCCTAGTACATTTTTTTGCATAGCTTCATAATTTTAATTCTCGTAGTTTTTGCATAACAAAACAAAATGCAACATAAAGCAAAGAAAGTGGTGTAAAATAAATGTGGTGATGTAAAATAAATGAATTACTATTTATTTTAATTGCCTTTTTTAAAAAAAAAATTTTTTTTTAATATCTATTTCGAACCGCGCATTGTAAATCTTTTCTTCCTACATAAATAATAGTTTGTTTTTTAACTTATAAAAGACTATAAAAAAAGTTTAATATCTTATTAGTGTCAAATTAAAGAAATAAAAATTTATAAAAGAAATGTCATTCAAACTATGTATATCTAAAGTGTTATAATTTTCTTTCACTATTAATAGTATTATAATTTTCAAGTTAAATTATACTTGATAGTAATTATGAAAACTTTTCCAAAATTTTAAAAGAAACATTTTTGCATAGTTATTGTAATTCTACCGATTGTAATAATTTCCTTTAGAAGCATTCTAAATAAGTTTCACAACATCAAAGATTTGATCAAATTCAGAAAAAACTTTTCCCTAACATTAAAAGGGGATTTAATAGTATTTAGTTTATGTATAGAAGTTATGCAAATTATAAATATAATTAAAAATTCTAGCTTTTTTCTTCAGTGATATTTTTTTTTTGTTTTATATATATATATATATATACATGTAATTCAAAATTTTCATTCTTTATTTTATGTGTTTTAATGCAATCTTCTAAAAAATGCGTTTTTTCAACCTGTGCTTTGTAATGAAAAAAAAAAAAACTTATTCAAAAAAAGTTCAAATAACTGATATCTTCACCTTTAGTATCACTTGCTAACAAATTGAAAGTTTTTAAATTTATCTTCCAAATAAAAAATTAACTAAGAATATAACAGATTATTGTTTCATCCCTGAATAACTATTTAACCATAATTAAATTTTTTAAATTAAATAAAAAAAATAAATTTAACAGGTGCACTAAATACTAGCAGGGATGCTACTCGCAAAATATCAAATTGTCTCACCAGAAATTGCATTTCGTCTCAGTTAAAATCTCTTTTTGGCTCAGTTTGTCTCAGCTAAAATTATTTTTTTCACTCAGTTTATCTCAGCTAAAATGATTATTAATCAGTTTGATAACAATATAAAGATAATTTTCAGGATCCATAAAACCATTAATAGCATACTAGGAGTACTACAATTATACATACATTCACTATTGCTAGGATTTTAAAAAACCTGCATATGATTGATTATAAGAGTCCACAAAATTGTTTTATGGACTCTGTTGTTTTCATATATATTGCATTTATCATTTATGCCAATGAATAGTATCTGTTCCAGAATTTTACAAAGTAAATTTTAACTTTCTTATTTTTTAAAATATAATGGTGTTAACTTTCTAAAAAGAAATATCTATTTAGTTTCAGTAATTCAAAAGGGAAAATACCCATTTTATTTTGAGCTCAAATTTCATCTCAAAATATATAACTATTCAGTTACAATGAAAGGTCTACAGATTTCAATAATTAAAAGAGAAATTCAGTAATTAAATAATGAGAGTTTAAGAAAATGCAAATAACACAAAAAAAAACACTCTTTGATAGAATTCAGNTAGACAGAATTATAAAACAATTTTGAAAACTTATATATACATACTCATATTAATAGTTTTTTTTTTCCTATAAAAAATGGCACTTTATGGTAACTAGTTATTTTACAGCAATTGGCATAGCCTCCAAGTTGACAATAACATGAAACTCCAATTGTTTGCATGGTCAAATTTTTACCAGATCATGGTAAAAAAAAACTAGGTTTTGCTCAGTTTAAACCAAAGAAAAAATTTTAAAAACTTGGCAAATATTATAGCCCATGTTCATTTACTAATAAATAGTGGTTTATTATTTATAACTTGACTTGTAATTGTGGTTTATTATTATTAATCCTAAACAAATGGCACATTCTTAGAAAATAATGAACTAGAGGAGGTAAGCAGTTTTACGTATCATGGAAGTTTAATTAACAACAAAGGAGAAACTGATGAAGATATACTAAATAAATTAAACATAGCTCGAAGCAGTTACACTTTTATCAATAAATTTTAGAGAAACAAAAACATAACAAATTCAACAAAAATTTGAATTTTCAATATTAATGCTAAATCTGTCCTACTATCTGGATGGGAGTGACCAATTTTCTAGCGCCGCCACTCATTATTAAAATAACAGAAAAATATGAACCTTTTGAAAAATAATTAATAGCAGGCAAAAAGACAATCTCTGTGTATAAATTTTCTTTTAAAAAAGTAAAATTAAAAAAAAGGATTAACTGATAAACAATTTTAATACTTTTTTTATATTTTAAAATAAAAACTATGAGAAAATAAACATTTGAAGGTGTGCTTTTAAATAAAAGGTATTTATTTAGAAAAATAATAGTAAAATTTAAAATCACTAAAAAACTCACCAAATAAGGGTTGGGATTATTCCTGGAGCCGAATATCATGCGAATTTTAACTGTATTATACCTACACAGCATAAGAAAAATCTTACTAAAATGAAAATAAAATTAAAGTTAAATAATTATCAGTAACTAAATAAATCAGAAGTGAACTTTCCATTAAATCAGGTGGTTAAGACTACAACTTTTTCCTGAAAAAATAAAATAAAAAGGCACTAATTTTAAGGGATGGTGGCTTATTTCTACAAGGAGGGCACATTTACAGGGATCAAGGGACAGGCCGCCCTTCTAAAAACGCTTAGGGAGAACACTGGCATGATCAACTAATACATTTAGGTACATGAACAAGTGATCATGGAATTAATAATATGATATAGACTTTTAACTGTACAACTTTAATTTTTAGCAGAATAAGGGGAGAGGTAAGTTTCGCACGATTAAAAACTTATGAAATTGATCTTCTTACAGAATACTATTTACACCAATGAAAGTAAGATCTGTTTTAAGGCAAATATTTTCAACGTTTAAATTAATTTCCTACTATTTACCATAACTTGCATCAACTTTTTTTAAAACGTAAAATTGCAACCAAATCTCGGACTATATTTATGAAGAATCCTTTGGCAGAATTTTTTCGAGCTATCTGCGACAAAACTCTCTAGCACTAATATCTTTCTGCAAGATACTTTTAATAATAATAAACATGCATGTTATTAATTTAAAATAACAAAAGTGCTGTGTTTACAAAAAAAAACTATGTATAATTTTTTTTTAATTGAACATGTAATTTTTATTCTAATATTATAGGTAACATTTTTGAGTTTGTTGGGAGGGGAGGGGACGCAGAAATTATTTCCTTTGCCTTTTGTAACTAATCATCACAATAAAGGAAAAAAATTTAAAATCATTAAATCCGTAGTAGTACTTGGTGAAAAAAAAGATCGACAAAATCACGAGAATCGGGCACCTCAAATGCGTGTTTCGTTTCTTGATTAGGCTGTTGTATAAAAATAATATTGTACAAAAAATATCGGATTTAAAATCTATGGAGAAATCAATAGCAATAACTGATAAAATTAGACAGAATTATTGCCTTAAAAAGTAAATACACAAATCGAATTTTTCATGTTTATCGGGGTATTTAAAATCCACATGAAAATAAATAACTGACGAAAATACAATCGAAGCAATACATCAATTTACGATACTATCAGCATATATTGAGTGCGTCAAAATTGATTATCGAAATGCATGATTCAAATATAATAGGTAAATTTCTGTCAAAAAATAAATGAAGGTTTTTTTTTTTACTTTTCATAAGAAGATCTTTCTGCAAGAACTCTGTAACGTTCTGCAACAATGTTGCTGCGATTGTGCCATGGGGATGAAGAAAAAAATCAACTGAACTCCTTCATTTAATGAAATACTAATAATTATATAGGTAATAAATACTACTATAATAAAATAAATAAAGATCTCCAACAAAATATATTGAAAAGAAATTAGCAATATATATAATACGTCAGCTATTCACAGCACTTAGGCTTACCAAAGAAAATTTCAACTTTTCTAGAACAACTTCTTTTTGCAAATGTTTTATTTTGAGAAAAAGTTTGGTAAATATTTCTATTAATTCATCAGTAATGTCAAAAATTTTGTCATGTCATCATAGATGTCAAAAATATTTAGAAGGTTAGTTTTTAAAATTCTCATAACCTATATACAATCCATAACAATGAATGTACATGTTCCTGGTTGCAATACTGTCAAAAATATATTCCTTTTTTTTTAGAAAAGAAAAAATTTTTATGGAAATGGCAAAAACAAAAATATTTTTTATTTTTCAAGGTGGTAAAAAAACTCACATTGTTAATGTTGTGCTACCCTAATAAATTGCTGGAATTATTTTTATCTACACTGTTCAGTGGGCAATGCTGTAAGAAAATAATCTTAAGGCTAATATTAATATGTGTTCAAATGGTATTAAAAGCAAAACTCTAATTTGTAAGAAAATCTAACAGAAATATTGCCAAATCTTTACTGTGTCTCAACTAATGAAATATTTAAACTTTAGTCATTAATAATTTGGATTTCTTAAGTACTACTCTAAATTTGAATTTATTTTCTAATTCACCTCTAGAGACAAGTAAATAGATCTTATACCATTTGTTTAATTTTAAAGTTAGGATTTAAAATCTTCTCAGAGTAGTAAATTACTAAAAAATAAATTAATTATAATTTTGACTTTTTGGCAAAAAAACGGGAGATCTGTAAAATATCAGTTTTAAATTATACTACTAGGTAACAGTAACACATTACTTAGAAAGAAACTAACATCCATAAAAAGATTTTTCTTTCATAGTTTCTTCTCATTTTTTTTTTAAATTATTAACAAAAATAATTTTTAAAAAAATAATTTAAATTATTTTTTTTAAAATTAATTTATAATTATAGATAGAATTAAAAATATAGATAATTAAAACAAACATGAATGTAGCAATTTATAACTCAAATAATCTTGATAAAATTTTTGCAAAAATAACTTCTAATTACTATACATTAAAAATATGAAAAAAGCCTCTATATACATTAAACCCTTGAATACATATATAAACCCCTAAGTATAAATATATGATACAATACTATATTAAAAAAAAAAATTTTAATAGAAAACAAGTATTTATTAGGTATCAAAATCCAACAAATTTTCTTTTTAATTGCAACCATTCTACGTTAATATTGTTTCTAAAACTATATTCCCAATAAATTTCAATAAAAAATGTATAAATGTTAACAGTTTTATCGATATATATGCATATGTATATATTTTACAGGAGAGGTTATTCTCTATTTATAATGTCTTTAAAAACTGTTCAACTGAAAGCTTGGTGTTGTAAATACAATCTGGCACACCAGCACCTTTATAAGAAGCTCCTATTAACGAAAGACACAGATTATTCTTTGTTATCTCTTCATCTATCTTCTCTAAAACTTTGTGATGACCAAAAATATATTGCGGTATGCATTTTTTCTGGATTACTACTTTATGCCGTACTGGTTGTTCACTGATTTTTAAGTGCATTTCAGCACCTTTGATAGCAGCTTGCAAAATTGTGTCCTCAGAAACAGTGTCTACATCTCCAAAAATGTCACTAAACCATTTCCCACCCATCATGCAAGTAATACGAGTCTTTGCTGTACCATTCATTTGTGGGAAACAACAAGAGTCAAAAACAATACCCATGACTTTAGAATTTTCTGATGAAGGAGATAAGAAACCAAATCCTTGTTGTTTAATTAACTGATTTTCATACTCAAGGTAAACAACAGCAACATCTACTGATGGGATTTTAGCTAATACATTTGCTAAAGATTGATTATTAGGAAGTAACTTGGATAGTTCATATGACGGAATAGCAGAAAATATGTGATCGACTTCGATAATTTCATTTTCCACATTGATTTTTGCTTTGTTTCCAATAAAATCTATCGATGAGCAATTAGTATTGAACAATAAATCGCACCCTCTCTCTTCAATGGAACATGCCAATCCATCAATAAATTCAGACATTCCTGTTTTAAATGTCCACATTTTCCACAATTCAGAGCGAGCTTTCTGAACTAACTGGCTATGCATGAAAGCTGCTGCAGCATTTTCTCTATCCTTTAGCACCCCTTTTACAACGGAACCATATTTATTTTCCATTTCATACAAATACGGGAACATAGATCTAACACTCAATTCTCGGGCATCACCTGCGCTTATACCACGACACAAAGGATCAATAAGATTCTCTGCAATATCACGTCCAAATCTTCGATCCACGAAAGAGAACACTGTCTCATCTTCTAATTTCGAGCTTTTAGTGAGAAGATCTTTAAATAAATAAGAAATGAGAGGTCTATTAAAGGGATGTCTTGTTTTCAAAATTGAGAAAAAATCTCTCGGCAATGGGTGAAGCTCATTTTGTTTCAGAATGTAATTAGTTCTAGCTGTTGTATGAGTTCTATCAATAGCTAAAATTCTAGAAGACAATCCAAGTTCCTCTGCTAATGTTAAAGCATTAAATCCTGCTTTACTACCAGCACGAAGCGTCCGTGGTCCATGGTCAAATACAGCATTGTCCGGAAATCTTGTGGTTTGGATCCAACCACCAAATTTAGGACCTTTTTCTAAAAGGAAAATGTATTTGATTTTTGATCCGCCGAGAAATTTTAAATAATGAGCACAAGATAATCCACTAATGCCTCCCCCAATTATGCCAATTGCTGCCATAATTTAAGATTAGAAATTAAACTTCTGAGAAACTTCAGTGCGATTAGTTTACAATTCTTAATATTTCCCTCTTAATCAGGTACTCAGCATATATATTTAAAAATAATATATACTGCCCCGACATTAGCGACGAAATATGAGCCGGTTATTTATTTACTTTTTTTTAAAACAGTTACGGTTTTGTATCAAAGATTTAGTTTTCCAAACGCTTAGGTGAAATCCTGTTCAAGAAATAGGCGAAACAGTGCTACGCCAAAAACGTTCGTAAATTTTAAAAATTCGGTTATTTGAATTAGAAAAATTAAATTCTAAAAGTTTAAAAATGGGAAACGGTTTTGTCGAAGTTCCAACTTAAGCAAACTGAAAAACTAAAGAAGTAAATATATTTCATTTACAAATTTATTTTATTATAAATAAATTTCTAAAATTTTTTTAAAAGTAATAAACTGTGTTTCTGTTACAAATTTATAAAAAATTAATATAGGCCAAGAATATGGCATTCATCAAATTTAATTTGTGCCTTGTGGCTATTTGAAAAGGCGCGAAGGTAGGAGTTATAAATAAACTACATATAGGATGTTATAACGAAAATTATAAATTTGACCAAGAGTATAATCCATAAAGAATGTGAAACATAAAAATCAGGCAAGACTTTCTTTCTCCTTCCTAAATACAATGAATTGCCAAGTATTTCATGAAATTACAAATTGTACAACTTATGATCAAGCCTTAACAGTTTCTCTTGATCTAAAATATAACTTATCTAATGAGTCTGTAAAAACAATAAGTGGTGAAAATGTTATTGAATCTATAAAAAAGTTAAATGACGAAAATGTCATTTTTATGGAATCAGCACAAAACGATAATTCACAAAATCATTCTCAGGATACTGAATACACCCATGATGATGTATCTGATAGACATTCTCCAATTGATCCAAAGAGGGAACATTCTGGCCTTGTTTTTATGATAAAAGAGTCTGGAGATGTCTTAATGAAAGAATTGTCAAATGATGACTCAATGATAGAGCAGTCTGAGGAAGTTTCAGATGAAGACTCCATGAAAGAGCATTCTGAGGAAGTTTTAATGAAGGAACAGTCAGATGATGACTCAATTATGGAGCAGTCTGAGGATGTCTTATTGATGGAACACTGTCAAGATGCCTTACCCCTGCATTGCTTTGAAAGCTCTCCTTTCTCTAAGCAAAGTAATGATGATTTTCCGGGTGGTTCAGTGCAAGCAGGACTGTCTGAAAATTTGAAAGATGCACATATACCAATGAAGTTAAATGTAACTGCATCGTATGAGGAAATTTATAAACTTCAACCTCTTAAAGTAAGATGTCTACAACCACTTAAGAATCTTAGGAAAAAGTGTGATAAGATGGGTTTAATATTTTGTACTGCTGACTCAAGTATAAATGAAACTGCTTTACGCTTTGACTACATGATTCAAAATTGTTCGGTAGAAGGTCTGTATCCTTATGAAAACTTGAAACAATTATGCGAAAAACTGAATTTGAAATTTCAAAATGGAAACACTCAATTGATAAAGAGAAAAGTAGATCTTATCCTTGGGCATAAGTATAAAAATGGCACTATATTTTATTTGGTTAAATGGAAAAGATTGACTTCAAAGCGTAATAGTTGGGTATCGGAGAGGTTTCTGTTCCCTGAATACAGAAGCTTAGTTAGTTATTACAAAGTTGTTAGCCATTTACATTCAGGCTTAAATCAAGAGATGATTAAGCACTTTTACTATGAGCTAATAAATCGTCGACCTTATGACAGTTTGTCTCTGATTAAAGTGTGTGCTCTACTATTCAACACTTCTGAAGACTTTATGAACGAGTTATCTTTTACCTACTCAGAATTGAAGGACAAAAGTAAATTAATCCTTACCTATCCAGTTAAAAAATTGAATAAAATTCAGAATCAATTATTAGACATTATGCAGTTTTCAGAGCGTAGAAAACGAGTTTTGATTAACCTAAACGAATGGGAGAAAGATATTAACAGTTTTAATCCAGCGACATACATTGAAGTTCAAAATCACGTAGACTTAGAAATCGCTCCCACAAATTTTCAATTTATTCATGATTATGTTAGAAGCCAAGAAATTGTAGAAGAGCCAATATGTTTCTGTGAATGTGAAAATTGCTTCGATAATAGAAAAAATTGTTGCCCTCATGATTCTGATGGTGCATTTCCCTATACTCGTTATCGCAGGTTGAATCTTCTGCCTGGTTATCCCATTTATGAATGTAACAAACGATGTAAATGTAGCAGTGATTGTATTAATAGAGTTGTTCAGCATGGTCAAAAAGTAAAAGTTGCTATCTTTAGAACCTCGAATGGTTGTGGCTGGGGTTTAAAAACGTTAGAAACTATTCAGAAAGATCAATTTGTTCTAGAATATCTTGGTGAAATTATAACATCAGAGGAAGCAGAAGCAAGAGGTGAACTTTATGATTTTATAGGGCGAACATACCTTTTTGACTTAGATTATGGAGAAGGTAATTGCCTTTACACAGTTGATGCTGGGCATATGGGAAATGCTGGGCATTTTATTAATCATTCGTGTGATCCAAATCTTCATGTATTTGCAGTGTGGATCAATAATCCAGATCCAAATTTGCCTAGATTAGCGTTGTTTGCTAAAAGAAAAATCAATCGTGGGGAAGAGTTAACATTTGATTATAAAATGGTGAAAAATAGAGATGGATTTGGTGTTGGTAGTTCACCTCCTGTAGGTGTAGAATGCAAATGCAAATCTAAAAATTGTAGAAAATACCTCTTTTGACATTCAACTGTATTTTAGTGGTTTAAAAAATTGGTTTATTTTCTTAATAAATCCAATTACTAATTCAGATTTGAATTAGTTGTGGTGTATATATTTATTTGAATACTCTCAATTATATCTCTTAATTCAATGACTTTTATCCTATATTACTTATGAAAGATCATTGTTTTAAATATATTTCAATAAAAAGTCTAACTGCGACTAGATGTGTCTATTATATTTCATGATTTTAATTATATTTTTAAATGATAAACTTTGCATTAAATTTGTGTAGTGACATGACGACAATGAGGTTAGAGAAAAAATTATTTGTGGAGGGAATTATTAAGTTTTGAATTATTTTATTCACCAATACTTTTTCAAAACAAAATTTATAATGGAATACTTCAAACCTAAATAAATTTTGATATGAATTGTCGTCACTCTGATAATTATTGTTTTCATGTCGTTACTTCTTGATTTGAAAATTGTCAAAATTAATCTTCAAGGTTTTCTAAATTTCAATCTTTTTTATCTGCATAATGAAGCATTTTGTCATAATTTGTTGAATATTGGTAAACTGGTTTGAAACTAGGAATGTAACAAATAGAAAATTTTAAAGAAGAAAACCATAAAAAAAAAGGCAACCGAAGCTGGCGTCGTTAAGAGGTACCAGCTTCAAAAGTCATAAAAACACTAAACCTTTTCTATCGAGAGAGCACGACAAATGTCTAAAAATTGCTCTCTATGTACTCTAAAGAATCCGTCAAAAGTCCAGGAAAAGAAATGTATGATACAAAAACAAAATTTTATGATTTACGGAGATGGTACCCTCTGACGACGTCAACTTCGGTTTTTATTTTTATATTTTAATTGTTTTCTTCTTTAAAATTTTCTATTGATTACAGTTTTCTTTAGTGATGTAACGAATAGTGATAGGGCCGAATACTTTTTAAAAATTTCTCTTTTGATTGTAATTAAAGTAATTTTAAATTAAAAATGAAATTAATATTAACAAAATTGCTTTTTTAATCTTTGTATATTTAACAACTTGATTTATTTTTTGCAATAATTTAAATATCTTGATGCCAATAACAAGGCAATATGGCTTTTATAAATCTAAATAATTAATAATAGCATATTTTAGTTATAGTTATACTTGTAATTTATATGCTATTTTATTTAAAATAAGAACTCATTACTACTGTTAAATGTATTCTTAACTTTCATTTTTGTCAGAAAAATTATTAAAACCCAGATAATTAAGAACTTTTTTAAAAGTTTCACTTTTGAAATGTTCATTTTGTAATTAAATAATTTTCAAATTTTAAACTAAAAATTTAATAAATATTAACAAATTTACTTTTTTAAGCTTTCTATATTTTAAAAAAAATTTAACAACTTGATGTATTTTTTTTAATATTTTAAATATCTTGATGCCAACAATACGGCTTTCACAAATCTAAATAATTAATAATAGCACATTTTAGTTAATTATACTTGTAATTTATATATTTTATTTAAAATAAGAACTCATTACTACTGTTAAATGTATTTTTAATTTCTTTTTTTTTTTTGCCAGATTTTTCTGGCGAAAACCCAGAAAACTAAAATAACTTCATTATTCGGCCGAATAACTTCAGTATTCGGCTAGGCTGAATAGTGGCCAAATATTCGTTACATCCCTAGTTTTCTTATGGAATTTCTGCTGCATTGTGCAGCTTTCTTCTGAATTGTAGTATTTGTCTGCTTTATACTTGTTTTTAGCTTTCTCTTTTTATTGTTATAACGAATAGTGATTTAGCCGAATACCAAATATTCGGCAAAAAAGAAAAATAAGCCAAAAAGTAGCATTTTTTTAAAAAATCATTATTAAATATTGTTTTTTATATATAAATAAGTTGAGACTTTAAAAATTAATCAAAACAACTATATCTTTGGTATGGGAGGAAGGAAAAAAAAACTATAATAGTTATATATTTAGGATAAATATTAAACTGACTAACAGCTATAAAAGGAAAAAAACTAAAGTGGAAAAAAATAATATAAAAAGTATCCATAAAACATTCAAAGTCTATCAGAAATACTACCCTGTCATGAAAATGCCCATAAGAACTAAAGACAAGTACAAAAGTGAAACAGAAAAATAAAATCTATCTTCATTCTTGAAAGAAAATTTTAAGGCTGAACATCTCAGTTTTTCAATTACTGTGTTTTCAAAAGAAAGGAGAAATAGAATCCCTTCATTCACTACGCCATCTGGGAAGAAGACTGCTTCCCTTGACCCTTTCCCTCTGCTCTTTTTAGTTTTAAAGGAATGTACTACAATATTTGACCCTTTCTTAATGTTTTAATTATTAAAGATATTTTTTTAAATTTTCACGGCGTTTTCTTTTAGAGCCATGTTTAATGTAGTTTTCAGTTCCGTATGGTTTCTAACTTAAAAAGTTTTTTATTTATTTGAAAATCAAGACAGACACTAACATACTTGTTTCTCCTATGACTCTCCGCGCACTAATAGTGAATGCATATAAAGTGTTGCCATAGGTTGAGAGTTCTGCTCTACGCAAATCAAAGATCATTCTTAATCTTAAAACGAAAAATTTAATGCTAAAAATCTCAATTTAATTTTTTTAAATTGCCATATTTTTTTAAAAAAGTGATAAAGGAAAAGTTCCTTGGAAGCTTTCTTTAAAAAAATGCTGTGTCATAATAAAAATACTGATAAAGAGGAAGTTAAAAAAAAAAAAGCAAAAGAGAAACAGGAAGGAAAAAAATTTTCTCTTAAAATGTAATTTTAATGTTGAAAATCAGAACTTTCTTTGTTGCTGCTTATATGTCTTACCATACAGGGGAAAAGTGACGATAAAAAACAATATTCTTATCAGAAACGTTGCTTTGTAATTCTGTGCTATAATAAAAATGTTCTGAATTATTAAAACAAAAAGTATTGAAAAAACTACCTATGACGTGCGTGAATATAAATTTAAAAAAAATCGGCAGTGCAAAACGTGGTTCAAATTAAAGTATTGTTTCAATTCTTTAAATTTCTCTTTTCCTTATGTCTACCAGAACATAAATTTGCAAGCATTATTTCTTTGCAAATTTGCAAAAATTATTTCTGGGAATGTATAGTAAAAAATACAATTTTGATTATTCTTTATTTAATCTATTCAAATTTTAAAAATAAAAAAAACTTAGTCAAAAAGCTGAAAAATACTTTGTCAGTGTTGCATCCCTATTTGAAGCTTTTTATTTTCAGAAATTTGGATTTAATAGTCTCTAACTGTAAAATACTTGTAGGAGGCATAATGAAATAAAGGTTAAGTTAATAAAATGACAATATGTCTAAAATACTGACAATGTTAACTATACCCATTCTAAAATGTCTTGTAATATATATTTACTAGTGCTGATTCATTTTATTGTACAAGGATTTACATTATTATTCAATTAATGCTTGTTTTTTGTTTTAAAACAATGGCTTTCGTTTTTCTGTCTGGGTTGGAAAAAAGTTTATTTTTAGTAAAAAAAAAAAAAATTGTGTTTTATTTGTTATTCAAATGTGTTTTTATTTTTTTCAAGCATTTGTGTTTAATGCTTATTATATTATTACATACATATTTTTTTTTTAATATTTCGCATCTGAGAGAAAAAATTTTAAATCGCATTTGTTTTGAAAATATAAAAATAAATTATTTACGTAGAACTTGCAACCTTAGGAGCCCCCAAATGGTTTCTTTTTTTTTTGCTGTTTGCAAAAGCAAATGTTGCAAACATTCTTGCCAATCCATTAGTTGAACATGCAGCTTTCTACAACTGTTAAATAATAAAAACCAAATTCTCNAATACTTGTAGGAGGCATAATGAAATAAAGGTTAGGTTAATAAAAAAAATGACAATATGTCTAAAATACTGACAATGTTAACTTTACCCATTCTAAAATGTCTTGTACTATATATTTACTAGTGCTGATTCATTTTATTTTACAAGGAATTACGTTATTATTCAACTAATGCTTGTTTTTTGTTTTAAAACAATGGCTTTCGTTTTTCTGTCTGGGTTGGAAGAAAGTTTATTTTTTGTAAAAAAAGATTTGTGTTTTATTTGTTATTCAAATGTGTTTTTATTTTTTCAAGCATTTGTGTTTAATGCTTATTATATTATTACATACATATTTTTTTTTTAATATTTCGCATCTGAGAGAAAAAATTTTAAATCGCATTTGTTTTGAAAATATAAAAATAAATTATTTACGTAGAACTTGCAACCTTAGGAGCCCCCAAATGGTTTCTTTTTTTTTTGCTGTTTGCAAAAGCAAATGTTGCAAACATTCTTGCCAATCCATTAGTTGAACATGCAGCTTTCTACAACTGTTAAATAATAAAAACCAAATTCTCATCGATGTTTTTTTTATAGACTTAACTACCAGGATAATGGTAAAAAATCAGTATACTTTAGTCTTTCTAATTCTCTAAATGAAAGCTTAACATTTGCCGCTTTAGCAATGAAAATTTTTTTCTACCTTTTTTTTTCTGTTCAGTAATTCTATTAATTACATCAAATATATAAGACAGAATTATAATAGCTTTGTTATAATATTATGATAATAGCTTTGTAAAAATATTAGGAACTGAACTGGCTTTAGGAAATTACCAAAAGCAAATGCATAAAATCAAATATTTTTCTATAAAAAGATCTTTAGTTCATTACACAAATATAGTAAATAATCGTGCACTTTATTTGGAAATTTCCATTAATTGTGAACATTTGGTATTAATTTATAACAGTTGTTTTTAACTATTTTTGAGTTTTGTTTGATAAATGCTTGGGTATGTGAAAAATTATGATACACAGTAGTATCTAAAAAAATAATTTAAGGCTAAGTTTATTTTGTAAAAATGGAGCTCAGCACTGTTATCATCCTTTGTCATCAATAAACTATCACACTCCAGTCCATCTATTATATATTAATGTTATAAGAACCATTTAATAAATATTTTCCTATTAAGTGTGCAAATAAATTTTTTTTTTTTTTGAATTATGTACGTGTATTTAATAAAGTAGAACCTCCATCAATCATTTCTCAAGGGATCATTCATTGTGAACGATAGATATAAAAAAATGATGAATGCAGATCAAAATAAACTATCAAATAATGACTTGATTGGGATAGAAAAATTTAAAAGAAATATTGAACTTTAAAATTGATAAACTTACAATGGGTATAAAGAAAGTTTAATTGAAAAAAAAATATGTTATTAAGACTAAACTATTTAAGATGCAAAAAAAAAAAAAATGAATTATTTCTTCTTAGCTTAAACAATAAATTATCATAACAGATTGTTGTTCATTTTCTTAAGTTTGAATGAATAGAGAAGGTTTCTCATAGTTTCAAAGGCTTCAAGACCTACTGCAAATATTGGCATTATGCATGTATGAGTGATGAATTGAGATTCAACTGCATTACAAAACAATGACGTTTAAATGAGGCTTCAATTACTTGCAAAACTCATTTATTGATCTTGGATATTAATTCTTTGTAAGAAGAGGCCTTGCCTGTACATGCTATGCTTTAATGACCACTGTTTATATCTATATTAATTAAAAACATGGGAATTTTAATTTAAACCATATCAAACTCTGCTTAGATTTAAAAAAACATCCAATGACCTGTTAAATTGCTGTGGAGGAAACTGAGAGGAGGTAAAAGGTAATTATTAGAAACACTTTGAACTTTCTTAAGGTAATCTAACTGGTTATAATATTTTAATACTATTTTTTTTAACAATAATTAGTTTGATTTTGGTTAAAAAAAAAATTTTTTTTTAAGGTAAATATTTTTTTATCACTCTAATCTGGGTGCTTTGTTTTTTAATGAGGGTAATCATGAAAAATAAATTTCAAGGTGTAATAATAGCGAACATTATGTAACACTTTTTAGATAAGTAAAACATTAAACATTCTATTTCTTCCTGTGTCTACAGTCTTGTAATCTTAGTCGATGATGCATATTTAATCTGCAATATGCGGTCACTTTTGTTAAAAATGGTCTATTTTGAAGTAGGATGGTAACTTAGCTTACTTTTTATTTAGAAAAAGTGGCTGCATCCGATGTTGTTAAAGCTGAGGGGAAATATTGAGAATTAACAGCAGTACTCAAATGAAAGAGGTTTGATGAATTGGGATTAAATTGTATTTAATCACGTCTAGATTTTTTTTTTCTATAAATTCTGAGAAAATGCTGGTTTTCTATATAAAAGTAGTCTTTATCATCTCCATTTTAGGCGGTTCAGCATAACTAAAATTGTTTAGTAAAATCTTTCATGTTGGGCATTCTAAATCTTCATAAGTATAGATGACGTAGCAAAACTGTTCTCATAGCTATCACCCTGAATCTAATCAAAATCAGTATAGACGTGAAACAATCCTAATTGTTTCAATTTTTGTTTTTAATAGTTTACATTTAAGAGTGAAAAGCCATTATTTCCAATCTTGATTTTTAAATTTGACAAATTAGTGCAAATGTTTATGTATGAATTTTGTTATTAATTTATGAGGTGGACATTTTTTAATTCAGTTCTTTTAAGATTAAAAGAAACACTTAACAAATTTGTGTATTGTGATGTATTTATTCAGCATTAATATTAATTTGAGAAAGACTAATTAAAGTCCAATACTAATACTTCAAATAAAAATAATTTTTTTCAACGAGCATATCATACTTGTTTGTATTTTTTCAAAAAATTTTACATTTTATGTCTTTTTTAAAATGTAAGATTGCAATTTGCATTTGCAGATTTCAAAAATATTTTATAACAGAATACATTATTGTACATATTTTTTATATATACTGTACAGAACCCGTTATCCGGAAATCAGAAAACCAAAAAACCGGAACGAAATTTGATAAATTTTCCCGCTATTTTTTTTTTAAAAAAAAAATTTTTCCTCATAAGATTTTAGGATTTTTCTTTCTTTTTTGAAAGATGTTTACCCTAGCATCATTTTGGAAATAATCAGTAGTGTATTACTNATGTTTTTAAAATACCACTAAACATTCAGCAATTCCTTGAGTTATAGAAAAAAGAAATATCGTAAATTATAGAAAACCTTGTGAATGCGCATTAGAATTACTATACAATATACATTTTATTTTTCAAGCTCTTTTTTTTCTTCAAACTTTCTGCCTAGACCACTCGATTAAAGCTTTAAAAATGATTATTCCTAAAATTTTGTATATAGCCATAATAAGCTATGTTAATTTGATTTTAGTATGAAATCCTCGAATTTTTATAACAAAAACAACATAATCTAAATAATATTAGATAAAAAGTTCATGTATTTAAATTCTAAGAACTTAGAGAATCATAAATAATTTATAAATCGATTCAAATTTTCTTTTCAAAGGAGATTAAAATAAAAAACATTTTGCGTTTTGGACAGAAATTAGCTTAAAAATTGTCTATATCCTAGAAACTTTGAGATATTTTCTATAACTTTGAGATATTTCTATTAAACCTCTCCGAGCAATCACAGAGCATTTTTTTTTTTTTCTTNAATCACAGAGCATTATTTAATTTTTTTTTTACAGTCAGAAATTGGTTGCTTAGCAACCTAGTGAAATTAATTCTTCTTCTTTCGAATTAGTCAATGGGTTACCTGAAAATATTAATTTGCGCAGGCGACTTTTTTTGGCGGTTTTCTGACTATCGCCAAATATATAAACCTTTATTGTGACCCAATTTACGACCCAATTTTTTCAAAATTTTGTCTACCCCCCCTAATTTAAGTGTCTGGATTCCAAATTTGTAAAAAAAACTGCATGTTTATTCAGAAGAAGTACGTTTTTGTGTCTGATTTCGTAACTAAATTGATAATTAGCACTAATTAATTAGCATATTTGAGGTCACCCCCCGGAACCATTAAGATTGACACTTAGTTCGTGAAAATCCGATCATTAGAACGAAAGTTATTCAGGGTGATATCAGGGTGTGTTTGGCGCAGCATGTTCTTTTTGGACCTTGTGCCATTAAACCATACTTTCAATTCAATTCAATGGGCAATGAACATAAGCACCTTTAAAAAACAACATTTTTCCTTCTTTGTTTCAGGTTTTTTGAAACGTGAGTTAATAATCAGTCATTAGATTCGTCAGAAAGTCTATATTGCTTTAATTTTTATTTTGTTTTACGGAAATTTTAGGTACATATCATCAAAAGTGATAAATATTAAGCAAAATCATATAATTTACTTTGCGAAGTAATTTTTTTTTTTTTTAATTTAAACAAAAAATCGAAATATAGCGTAATGTATTTTCGCACTAAATATATTGTTCGATAATTTTTTCTTTAGAGCATGTATGATATGAAGCACTTTATATTCCATTTCTAAGGAGAGGGTAAAATTAAGAATTGTCAAATTAAATATAGTTTCCGATGACGGGTTTTTTTCTTTTTCTGCTGAATAAAAGGAAAATTTATCCGAAGTTCAACGATAAGACTACTAATTTAAAAGTTATTGAGATTTTATGTACGAAAAGAACAGTTTTATACTCACACCTATTTATGAATCTGATATTGTTGTTAAAACAAGTGAGATATAGTTTTCTATGTTATTTTTCCACCCACATCGGATGAGACCCAAATAAAGTAGGTAAATTTAACTCAAAGTTTTAAAATTTTATGACATAAAAGTACAATTTTTTACGTATGCTTATTTACACCTCTGACATTGCTATATAGCCAAGTGAGACTTTGTTTCTTATTTTTTATTTATGTTAAGCATAAAAAGGAACAAAGCCTCGCTTGTCTCGAAAGCTATGTCAAAAGCATAAGTGGATAGAAATTAAAAATTGTATTTTGTCCACATAAAATCTTTATAACCCCTAAACAATAAGCTCTATCGACTTAATTTTGTTGCCAATCATTTCAGTGTAGAAAATATACAAATAAGAATACCTCACATTGCTAGATAGTAAAGACAGACTCGTAAATAAGTGTAAACACAAAAATGTGCTTATCAAAATTAAATACAATTTAAGTTTTAATGTTGTAATCCTATTGGTGTTGTTTTAGTTACATTCGATTCAGCACAAGAAAAAAAATAACTTGCCTAGATATAGTTTGTCAATGTCAAATGTGTAAGTAGGTATAAGGACAAAACAGATTCTACACAGAAAGCCTAAATAACTTCAGAACTGCTTAACGACTCGATTTAATTTAGGGTGAAAAAGTACATCAGAAACAATACCCAACTTGTCTAGATAGTCATAGTAAATCTATCTTCACTTTCACTTCTTCTTCCTCCTAGTATAACCCTTTGAGATGGAATATATAAAGTGCCTTTGTATCTTAAAATTATGAACTAACAATAAAATATGATTTTTTTTCGCAAAGTGTACGATATATTATACGTAATCAATGCCGATCGTAACATAAAATGATGCTTTTTTACAAACGATCTGCTATTTTTATAACTGCTGTGAGTTTATAGCTGTTACTCATGACTGTTAGGTCAAGTTTAGCCTATCTAAAGACCCCGCTGTCTACGCTTTTTTAAAAAATGGCGCAAAACGTTGCTATGGAGATAAGCCACAGTTTTGTGAAAAGGAAAAGCGTTAGTGGTCTTATTTTTTATTATTTAAAAATTTACTGCATTTTTGGGCTCATAAGAATTTGCAGGAACTGAGAATAAGGCAGTGATTTTGATAATTTTCATGTAGGTGGAAAAATACCGCCGAATTGGAGATTTTAAAAAAAGTTTAATAACTTTTAAAATATTTAAGTTAGTTGTCTGTTTTAAAGCCCCAGATAATTCTTCACGACAAGATTATATATATAGTTTAAAATCATAGCATTGCTTTAAGTGTAAGGCTCTTTAAACGTGGCTTTTTTATTTCCCTTGGCGGCAGAGGTTCGAAAAATAGTGTTAAAGAAAATATTTACCTTCTGGTTTTAATATATATTTCTAGTTCCCCCTGGATGCCCCTTGGTGGGGGCGGGACAGGGC